GGGACGGGGCGGCGGGGCCGGTCCGCAGCCTGGGCCGGCTGACGGGGAGGGCCGGAGGCGGCAGCCCTCAGGGACGGGCCGGCCGCGGTGCGAGGCGGGAGCTATTTCAGGCGGCGTTTTCTAAGTCTCGATTTGACTTTGCTTCAGGTCTGGAGTGCGACTTGGCCACGAATCTGGTGGGGCAGCCCCTGGTGAGGCAGCAGGTGATGAAGGGAGTCAGGGAGTTCCTGGAGAACCGGAATCCGGAGAAGCCCCTCGTGATGTCCTTCCATGGCTCGACTGGAACAGGCAAAACCTATGTGAGCTCCATGCTCGTCCGCTACCTCTTCCAGGGTGGGCTGCAGAGCCCCTACGTTCACCAGTTCTCCCCCATAGTGCACTTCCCCCATGCCGAGCAGATAGAGCAGTACAAGGTAAGGGGCGCCTCTCAGCACAGTACTACTCGATTGGGGTGGTTTTTTTTTGGTTATGTCCACCTTGATCCTCAGTAGATACACATTCAGGCTGTTTCCTGAAGCACAGCAGGAAAAAATCTCAGACAAAGGCGGCTGAGTGAGTGGCTCCACACACTGGCTGAAGGATCCACTAGTAACCGTGATGTACTCTGGCACTCGGTTATCACTTTTGTCTTCCCCACAGCAGTCCTTGCCACGATCATGTTCTCATTCCTTAAATATTTACACAGCCCTTTGAACGCACAAACAAAAGTGCTTCACTTAGATGAAAGGAACTCATATTCTCCCGTTGCTTTCCAAAGAGCTTGATGGCTGTGAAAACCCGCGTATCGCTAGACTTGTAATCCCCTCTTCACAGAGCAGGCAGCTCCTGAACAGCAGCTTTAGACTCTTAACTGTGCCACTCTGTCTCTTAAAGCTGAGAAAGGGGAGAAATCAAAATGTGAAGGTTAGCTGCCAAACCCCCAGCAGAGCAGGGAGTCAGTGCACCGGGACGTTTGCTTTCTGGGTGTTTGGAGAAGTCATTTGTTGTATCGTGTCCTTGGAAGAAATGCTTTCAGGAAGGTAAAACCCACACGGGGTGAAGTGCTTCCGTTGAGAGTTATACGTGCCCCCAGGTGACGTGAGTGGTTTTGCGTTGGTTGGCATCTACACTGAAGTAACTTCAGCCGTAGTAGAGCCAGAGCTCTTCTGGCTCAGCGCAGGCACGTGGTTTTGCACCAGAACAGGAGCTGGCAAAAAGCACTCAGTAGCTGGGAACTGTGTAGGTACACAGTGAAAGAGAAGAACGTGGGGAACTGTAGGAGTCTGAATCCCCAGCTTTAGTTTGCTGCCTCCTCCTTTAAATCTGTAATAAAAGATCTTCAACGGGCTAATAAAGCCAGAAACAGCCACTGTGCGAAACCCAGAATAAAGGAGGCCTCCCCGGTGCTGGCTGTTCCTGCTCCGAGTAGGTGGTGCTGTGCTGCTTTCAGCACCTTCAGCTCCGCTTGAGCTCAGGCCTCGGCTCTTGCTCTGGGGTAGCTCGAGCCTCCCTCGCCGCCCTCGGTATCTTGCTGCCTTACGGCTTGGTGGGTGTTTTTCCTAGGAAAGCCTGAAGCGCTGGATCCAAGGGAACCTGACAAACTGTGGACGATCGGCCTTTCTCTTTGATGAGACGGACAAGATGCACCCAGGCCTGATCGATGTGATCATACCGTTCCTGGGACCCTCGTGGGTTGTGTACGGGACCAACTACCGCAAGGCGATCTTCATCTTCATAAGGTAAGAGAGGCCCCTCTGTGCCATCACGGGGCTTCCCAGCGCACGGCTTCTCGTTTGGGCAGAGGTCATGCCTGCTTCAGAGCACACACGTGTTTTGCTTTTCCTTCTCCAAGCCTTGAGCCTCTACAAATACCAAGAGACACTATTTCATTGTGAATAGACAGACCTGGAGAGGCTGAAAAAGCTCTCCTGTCCCTGTTTTTGGCTGCCTTTACAGGAGTCGCATTAGGCCAGGCAGCTGGGAGATCCTGGCTCGCGCTCGTGCAGGCTGGAGGGTGCCAGATGCCACCTCTGTCCTGCAGCACCGTTTTCCCGGATACAGGCCAAATAAGCGTCTCATTCTTGTGCAGCAACGCAGGAGGGGAGCAGATCAACGAAATGACGCTGGATCTCTGGCGTGCCCGCAAGGACCGGGAGGAGATCAGCCTGCAGGACCTGGAGCTGGCCATCTCCAAAGCCGTGTTTGAAAACCCTCAGAGTGAGTCCGCGAAGCGGAGCCCTTCCTGCAGGGTCAGAGCCCGGCAGAGGGAGCCAGGCCCATTCCAGGCAGCCACCGACACCGCCTGCTGCCTCCCAGGCAGCCAGAAAGGGACGACAGGGTTTTGCGGGAAGAGAACTGCGATCCCCACGAGGTTTCCTGGCGAAGCGAAGGAATAGCCCGGCCTTCCAAGCCAGCAGACCTGCTGCCACGTTTAGCAAAGTTCTTTGGAGACAAGGTGTAGTCGCCGTTGGGGGATGCAAACAGCACAGCACGCTCAGCGGAAAGGCACCGAGCCGTACCCATCCCCGCTGCCTGCCTGCTTGTCCTTGCTTTGCCCTTGGCACAGGGAGCAGAGCTTAAATTCCGACTAGTCAAGCTAAATCCTCCCTTTCCTGGAGGACAAATCTATTGGGGGGGGGAAGGGGGAGTGACAACTGATGGGTTCAGCTCTCTCCTTGTACAAAACTGGAGCGGATCTGTCTTCAGCCGAGTACTTTGGCTTTGCACAAAGCAGCTCTTTGAATTCCAGGGACTGCAGAGACTTTCTGAAGGTAAAACCTGTCTCTTCCTTCGCTTTTGCAGGTGGATTCTGGAAATCTGGGATCATTCACGAACATCTCATTGATTTTGTTGTGCCCTTCCTCCCACTGAAGCGCCACCACGTAAAGCAGTGCGTCGTCAGCGAACTCATCCAGCAAGGCCTCGAAGTACGTCCGGATGTTGTCCAGGAGGTGGCTGACAGCATCCCCTACTTCCCAGAAGAAGAGAAAATATTTTCATCAACGGGCTGCAAAACAGTGGCCTCTCGGATCAGTTTTTTCTTCTAGTCACGGGCGAGGGCTTCGCTCAGATCCATAGGGGATGTATACGGAGCTGTAAAGCGGCAGAACCCGGGACTGGCGGGACGAGCAGTCCTCTCTCCAGCCCCAAGGAGGCCGCTGCAGGATGCGGCTGCGGGACCAAGCGCAAGCGATGTGATTTAAAGCACTTTACTGATGCACCCCCGGCCGGGTGCGGGTGGACACAACCAGCCCGGCGCACCGCCCACGACATCTGCGACGACGGGAGGATGCCAAGAGGGCCTGCGGCGTCAGGGAGGTTTCTCACCCTGTCAGCAGCACCCACCTGCAGCTCTCCTCTCTCCTGGCAGCTACTGATCTCCAACACATCAAGATTCTGAGCCCACAGAAGAATATTTCTTTCGTACAGCATTTTAACAGTTGTTTTTTTTTAAAAAACCTTTTTAAGCGTGGCTGTGCCTCAGCTCCTTGGTACAACGCGACAGCGCTCGTGCAGACTGCTGCAGCGCTGGCCTGTGAACACCTTCAACGTTGCAGCAAAGTTTTCTTTTCAAGGAAGCTTTAGAGCCAACTTCTTTCCAGCTTCCTTTCACCGTGAATAGGTGCTGGTAGGGACCAGCTTCACCACCAACCAGCGTGGGGGGGGTAATGCGGGAGATGGCAACACCCGATCTGCCAGGAGCCAGGTTCTCCCTCCCACCCCCTTGTCCATCTTTCCCCTAAGGTCCAAAGGATTTCCCTGCAGCAAACCAGGAAAACAACAACAAAAAGACTTTGCACTTGTTTTACCAGCTACAAAAAATTCCACTCCTACCTCCAGGGGAGCCCACGGTGCCACTAACGGTTTTGAAAATTCCTTTTATTCCGTGATGATTTCTACAGCAGGCTGAGAGTTGGTGCTATGAGCTGTTGAGGCTCTTGTACAGCCTTCTGCTGGTCAGACCTTGAAGGCCTTGGCTGGGCCAGCGTCCGTTCAGCTTCCGGGGAGTGTCACTTACGCGAGGGACCTGGGGACAACCTAGAGCAGATTAGTGCTCCGCACTGCCAGGCACGGGGTGCACAGCACCACTGGCCTTCGCCCAGGTTTTAATCTCCTCTGTGCAGTCAATTATGGGAGAACAGGTCAGAAGAACCAGAATCATTCACTCTCGAGGAACAAACTGCCCCGGGGATGGGTGCAGGGACGCTTCCCGAAGCTCCCGATGCTCCGCTCGGGCCCTGGGCTGAAATGAGCTGCCAGTGCTTGGGACCATTCCAGCTCCAGGGCCGGAGCTTTGGGGTCAGCGATTTCAGACACCACCCAAACGCTGCCCGGGATCTGGCCCACGGACTCAAAAATTCTGCCTCTTCCAAAAATGTTATGCATTTCTAATTTTACAATAAATCTTTTATGAAATAACGGTTGGGGAAGAGTCTTTTACTTGGATTCCTTACTGCCGCTAGTGCGGAAGGACTTGGAAGATTTGCAGTTGCATGAGAACAGCTGCCTGATGCGATGGGACTTTGGGGATTTAGCGGCACAGAGCTGACGCTCTCCAAGTAGGTAACTGGAACAAGGCAGCGGCCTTTCCCCGGGGAGGAGGCGAAACAGCAGTCGCTGGCCCAGGCGCCCTCCGCAGAGGAGCCGGCGCAGGTCCAGGGAGGCCCCTGGGTCTCTCTGCCCCAGCGGCACTTTTCCCCCGCTGCAGAGCACGTCCCTGCGTCCCAAGGCCGCGGTCGCAGGGCTACTGCCAGCGCAGCAGGGGGTGGGAGCCACGTCCCCTCCTTCCCGGGGAGGGTGGCTTCGCAAAGCCTGCCTGCTGGCCCCGCACGTGGGGAGCCGAGGCGCGGTGGCAGACCGGCCGTTTCTGCCGCGGCCAAGCGGGGGGGCGGGGGGAGACCCGGCGTTTTTGCGGGGGGGCCCCGCCTGCCGCTCCGCGCGCTGGCTGGGTGCGAGATCCAAGCCTGCAGCCCCTGCCGCCGCACCCCGGGCTCGCTCACCCGAGTCGCTGTCGGTGCAAAGGCAATGCTACAGGCCTGCAGCAACCCCCAAAGCAATCCTTTGTCTGGGAGGGCTGAGGAGGAGCGAGACACCTGCTTGCAACAAGGTTCCCAGGCCAAATGCAGACATCCAGCAACCCACCGTCACCTTTTGGGCAGACCGCACCCGCCCACCCGCTCACCTCGCCACCACGTCCTGCCGTCCCTGCTCGCGCAGCACCGCTGCAACCCGTTTCTGCACAACGCGGTTCCCCGGGCTGAGCTCCAGTGCCTGCTGGTAATCCGCTAGCGCGTAGGCCAGCTCCCCCAGGCGAAGGAAGCCGTCTGCAGCGAGGCAGCATCGGCGTCTCGGTTAAACGAGAGCAGCTGGGGGCTGGCTGTCACCCTCGGGCTTTGTCTGGAGCTCTCTGCGCCAGTGGCAAATGCACACGGCGCGTGTCCAGCCCAGCCCAGCCACAAAGATTTCGGCATCAGTAGCCAAAAGCTCTGAGCTCTGCCGGGCAGGAGACACAGCCAGGTCTGGAAGAGAGCAGCCATTCCCAGCCGTGCCCGCAGGACAGGCCATGCCGGGAGGGAGCCGAAGGCCAAGGGCCGGGTGAGCCAGGCAGGGCTGCCCCCACGCAGGCAGCACCGCGAGAGCCTTCCTGAAGTTCGGCATGGCCGACTGGAAGTCGCGGAGCTGGAGGAAGGCCTCTGCCCGCCGCTCATCCAGCTCTGCCCGCGCCACGGACAGCCCGCAGCCCACGCCGGCCCAGCCCGGCGCTGCTCGAACCACCCCGCATCAGCGCGGCGAGCGGCCAGCGGCGGCCCGAAGCC